TTTTTTTTTTTTTTTTTTTTAAAGAGACAGGGTCTCACTCTGTCACCAAGGCTGGAGTTCAGAGGAATGATCACAGCTCATGCAGCCTTGAAATGCTGGCCTCAAGCAATCCTCCTGTCTTGGCCTCCCAAAGTGCTCGGATTATAGGAGTGATTCACTGCTTCTGGCCAACAAATTTCTTTTTAAGTACTATCTGTATCTTAAGTTAGTGGTCCCTCCTCCCTTTTTTTTTTGAGACGGAGTCTTACTCTGTTGCCCAGGCTAGAGTGCAGTGGCATGATCTCTGCTCGCTGCAAGCTCCGCCTCCCGGGTTCATGCCATTCTCCTGCCTCAGCCTCCCGAGTAGCTGAGACTACAGGCGCCCGCTACCATGCCCGGCTAATTTTTTTTGTATTTTTAATAGAGACAGGGTTTCACCATGTTCGCCAGGATGGTCTTGAGCTCCTGACCTCGTGATCCACCCACCTCGGCCTCCCAAAGTGCTGGGATTACAGGCATGAGCCACTGCACCTGGCCTCCCTCCTCCCATTTTTTAAAGTAAGAGTTAAGTAACTAAATTTAAGATAATACACTACAGTGTATTAATATCTAGAGTTTTTTTTTTAACAAATCCAACTGCTAACCAAAGTGATAATTTAAGTAAAAAATTGTTTAGAATTTTTTAGTAAGAATTAGTCTCAATCTCTAAGAACAACTTTATGTTGTAGGCAGAAAGATAATTTCCTTTTTGGTTAATTTTTAAAGCAAACAAAACTGCTACACTGGCTTACACGGTTTGACCCTTCTTCCTTCTACACTTCTGCCCTGTTGCTCTGAAGTTGGTCTGTTCCATTTGAGCCAACTTTCTCTTTCCAATTTCAGTAGCATTCTCTGGAGTTGCAGCCATATTTGTGCCCACTTAGTCCCTTCTCTAGAACAGGAGGGATTTATCACACCATCACATACGCACCAGCTCCAGTATTATGCAGGTTTTCTCGCAATGCACATTCTGAATCAGTAGATCTGGGGAAAAGCCCAGGACTCTACACTTCTGACAAACCTCCCACCCTGCAATATCCCAGTGCCATGCTGCTGCTGATCTTATGCACCTAACACTATGCTGTGATCATAGCAGGTGTCAATGAATATCTGAGAAATCTACAAACATCACTAATCCAAAAACTGTAAATAAAATGACACAGACATTTCAAACTATTGTTTTCTTTTTTTTTTTCTTTTTGAGAGGGAGTCTCACTCTGTCGCCCAGGCTGGAGTGCAGTGGCGCGATCTCGGCTCACTGCAAGCTCCGCCTCCTGGGTTCACGCCATTTTCCTGCCTCAGCTCCCCAAGTAGCTGGGACTACAGGCGCTCGCCACCAAGCCTGGCTAATTTTTTGTATTTTTAGTAGAGACGGGGTTTCACTGTGTTAGATAGGATGGTCTTGATCTCCTGACCTCGTGATCCACCTCCCTCAGCCTCCCAAAGTGCTGGGATTACAGGCGTGTGCGACTGTGCCCAGCTACTTATTAACTGTTACTCAATATATTTTGCAAAAGTTTTCATATTAGTTCGACTTAGTGTTATATATAACTGTTTTAACAAACTCTATATTCTCAAAAAAAAAAAAAAAAGAAACTGAAAAATCTGGGGATGGTAGATTTACCGGTAACAGTCATTCCTTCTACTCATAGCTCCTCAGTTTTCTAGGTCACATCATCCATTAAATGACCACAGTTATCCTAGAGACCTCTTCTAGTAGTGCTCTAAAAAGGAAGCTTTCTTCATATTCATCCCTTCCAATCTCTTTTTATTATATAATTTCCCTATTTTCTTTCCTTTTTCTTTTTTTTTTTTTTTCAAAGACAGGGTTTTGCTCTGTCACCCAGGCTGGAGTGCAGTGGCACAATCATGGTTCACGGCAGCCTCAATCTCTTGGCTCAAGAGATCCTCTTGCCTAGGCCTCAAAAGTGCTAGGATTACAGGTGTGAGACACTGTGTCCAGCCCCATTTTCTTTTTTCTTTTTTTTGACGGAGTCTTGCTTTGTCACCCAGGCTGCAGTGGTGCAATCTTGGCTCACTGCAAGCTCTGCCTCCCGGATTCATGCCATTCTCCTGCCTCAGCCTCCTCAGTAGCTGGGACTACAGGTGCCTGCCACTATGCTGGCTAATTTTTTTTGTATTTTTAGTAGAGATGGGGTTTCACTGTGTTAGCCAGGATGGTGTCAATCTCCTGACCTCATGATCCGCCGCCTCAGCCTCCCAAAGTGCTGGGATACAGGCGTGAGCCACCGTGCCCGGCCCCAGCCCCCATTTTCTATTAGGGTTTTTATCTTTTTCTTGATTTGTAGGCCGATATTCCCTAAATCATTAATTACATGGCAGATGCAAAGGCAGTAAAAATAAGAATATACTAAATCTATATTTAATCTAATCTAAATATACTAAATCTATACTAAATGGGCTTAAACATGGGTCTCTGCCAGTCATACATCTTACATAACAATGACGGTTTGCTGCATTCAACACACTTCACATTATTTAAAGCAAACCGTTACTTTTTGTGTGTACACCATCACCTATAAACTGATAAACTCACCTTGCTTCTAATCAAGATGCTCACTTCACCAGACTCTATGATGTAAAAGCTATCAGCCTTTTCACCCTGAAAGAAAAAGGAGGTCAGGTCAGAGCCATACCTAGTATTGAAGGGGAATAAAGAAATAGTTTGCTTTTTCACTGCTTAAGCTCTGATTTGTATTTATTTTTTTAACTCTACAAATGAATCAATAGTAAACAAATTCAGAGTAGGCCGGGCATGGTGGCTCACACCTGTAATCCCAGCACTTTGGGAGGCTGAGGCAGGCAGATCACAAGGTCAGGAGATCGAGGCCATCCTGGCCAACATGGTGAAACCCGTCTCTACTAAAAATACAAAAATTAGCCAGACGTGGTGGCGCGTGCCTATAATCCCAGCTACTGGGGAGGCTGAGGCAGGAGAATCGCTTGAACCAGAGAGTCGGAGGTTGCAGTGAGCTGAGGTCGCGCCACTGTACTCCAGCCTGGCGACACAGTGAGACTCCACCTCAAAAAAACAAAAAACAAAACAAAACAAAAAACAAATTCAGAACAAAATGAAGAGGATTCTGATCACTGGGATATCAACCTAACTACAACTGACACATCTCCCACTTCTTAGCATGAACCACTCACATTGATCTCAATGAATGTGCCCAGGTTGCCAAGTGCATAAAGCATCACTGTTCTCATTGCTCATGTTGGTCTCCTATTGAAATCTATGACAGGGACCAGTAGTCAAGGCTGCTGCAGACAATTTTAAGGTGATTCCTGGCTACACCTGAAGTATGGGGTCCAGGGATAATCTTGAACCATTAAATATAACTCTCAACAGGACAGCATGGATCTGGAAGGTTCTGTCTTGGTGAGAGAGGTACTTTGATGTTACCCTTATGAACCTTAGGCTTTTCTTTTGCTTGTTTTATTTTGTATTTTTAATTATTTATTTTTCTGGAAACAGGGCCTTGCTCTGTTGCCCAGGTTGGAGTGCAGTAGTGTGATCATGGCTCACTGCAGCCTCAACCTCCCAGGCTCAAGTGATACGCCTGCCTCAGCCTCCCAAGTAGCTGAGACTACATGTGCACATCACCATGGTCAGCTAAGTTTTGTATATTTTGCAGAGACAGAGTTTTGCCATATTGCCCAGGCTGATCTCAAACTCCTGGGCTCAACTGATCCACTCACCTCTGCCTCCCACAGTGCTGGGATTACAAGCATAAGCCTACTTGTTTTGATTTTAAACCACATGGTTGAACCAGTCATTTACTTAATTCAACAAGTAATTTATTTACCAAGTTATTTACTATGTGCAAGGCACTGTTTTAGGCATGTGAAATATACCCAGTGGACAAAACGAATACCCCTTGGCCTTGTAGAACTTACAGTCTGACAGGGTAAACAAACTTTAAACAGTCAACATAATAAATCAGTAAATTATACTGTTCTGTTGCAAGGCGATAAGTGCTACACAAAAAGAGTAAAACAGGGAATGTGAGATCTGGAGTGCTGGGGAAGGAGTGGGTATCCTATATATGAGAGCTTTACTGAGGCTGGGTGTCATTCCTGTAATCCCAGCACTTAGGGAGACCAAGGCTGGAGGATTGCTTGAGGCCGGGAGTTCAATACTAACCTGGACAATACAGTGAGACTCTGTCTCAACAAATAAAAAATTTAGAAAATTAGCTGGGCACAGTGACATATGCCTGCAGCCCCAGCTACCAGGGAGGCTAAGGCGGGAGGATCATGTGAGCCCAGGAGGTGAAAACTGCAGTGAGCCATGATCCTGCCACTGCACTCCAGCCTGAGCAACAGTGAGATCCTGCCTCTTAGGAAAAGGAAAAAAAAAAAAAAAGAGCTTGAGAAGGTGAGATTTGAGCAAAGACCGGGAGGACGTCTGAGTTAGGCATGCAGATATACGTGAAGCAGCTTTCAGGCACACTTCATTCAGTTTCTGACCCCTCACTATTAACTTCTGGAACAAATACCATCTACATCAGATAATGCAATATTACTCATGCACTCTCACTCTGTGTGGGTCTTAGGTCTTCACTGAGAATCTACTTCTTAGGCTTTCACAAACTTCATGTCCTTTGACCATCACATAGAGCCCCACGTGGGCACCATACACAGCTAGGATGACGTTTCTGAGTCAATCTAATCCCAGGACATATCACTGCCCCATATAAGTAAATGCCACAGCTTTACAAAGGGGTGCCTGTGGGTTTCTGCCCTGCTATGTTGGGTAGGTACCCTACAACCAGCAGAGCCAAATAACCATGAAGTTCTAGCATTACACAAACAGCTGTATGATAGGAGCTGACAAAGGATGAAGAGCCATGAAAGAAACTTAGTAGGAGCCAGAAGCAGAGTCACAAAGAGGGAGAGGTTATTTCACCAAGAAGAGGGTGATGAAAAGGAAAGATCTGTGTGGTAGGAAAGATCTGCAAGTGATAGGTGGTGAAGGATAGTGCTTAAGCCCTTTTTGTTTAGATAGGTGTATAACATCCACCATTTAAAGTGCTCACATTTCAAGGCTATATAGATTGATGACTTTTTGCAAATGTATAAACCTGTATAACCACCTCCTGGATCAAAATAGAAAATATATCCATACTCCAAAAGGCTCCCTCTGGAGTTCAGTCAAAAATACCACATTCTCACCCATGAAGTAACCATATCTAATTTCTGTCCTTGTAGGTTTTGGCCATTCCTTAATATAAATGGAGTCATACATTTTTTGTATCTGGCTTCTTTTAGTCCATATTGTCAGATCATACTTTGAAAGTCTCTGGCTATGCAAGAAATTAGGCTGGTAGCCAGAATAGAAACAAAGTGAGGGAAGGAGTGTACGAATGTTTTGAAGACAGCAAAGGCCAGGCACGGTGGCTCACACCTGTAATCCCAGCACCTTGGGAGGCTGAGGGGGGCGGACTGCTTCAGGCCAGGAGTTCGACACCAGCCTGGACAACATGGTGAAACCCCGTCTCTACTAAATACAAAAAAGGCCACGTGTGGTGGCTCACGCCTGTAATCCCAGCACTTTGGGAGGCTGAGGTGGGCAGATCACCTGAGGTCAGGAGTTTGGGACCAGCCTGACCAAGATGGTGAAACCTCATCTCTACTAAAAGTACAAAAATTAGCCAGGCGTGATGGCGTCATTGTTATCCTGTACACATACCCTAGTCTCTGCTGTCTTCATTTTTTTTTCCTTTTCTTTTTTTTTTTTCTTGAGACAGTCTCACTGTGTCACCCAGGCTGGAGCACAGGGGCACGATCTCGGCTTAGTGCAACTTCCACCTCCTGGGTTCAAGCAATTCTGTTGCCTTAGCCTCCTGAGTAGCTGGGATTACAGGCGCACACCACCATGCCTGGCTAATTTTTTGTGTTTTAGGTAGAGATGGGGTTTCACCTCCATGTTGCCCAAGCTGGTCTTGAACTCCTGAGCTCAGGCAGTCCACCCACCTCGGCCTCCCAAAGTGCTAGGATTACAGGCATGAGCCACCGCACCAGGCCTTTTTTTTTTTTTTTAGACGGAGTCTCTTTTGCCCAGGCTGGAGTACAGTGGTGCAACCTCCACTTCCCAGGTTCAAGTGATTCTTGTGCCTCAGCCTCCCAAGTAGCTGGGATTATAGGTGTGCACCAGCACTCCTGGCTAATTTTTGTGTATGTATGTATGTATGTATTTTATTTATTTTTGAGACAGAGTTTCGTTCTTGTCGCCCAGGCTGGAGTTCAATGGTGTGATCTCGGCTCACCACAACCTCAGCCTCCCGGGGTTCAAGTGATTCTCTTGCCTCAGCCTCCTGAGTAGCTGGGATTAGCTGGTCTCGAACTCCCACCTCAGGTGATACACCTGTCCCGGCCTCCCAAAGTGCTGGGATTACAGGCGTGAGTCACCATGCCCCGCCAAGTATCCTGCTTTTCAAGTTCACTACTAGGCTCTGTGTACCCATCTCACAGAAAGAACATTCCATTCTACATTCAAGAGTAAAGAAGCCAGACTGTACTGCATTTTAGGTCTTTGTGAACATGTCATCAGGTTTTTATATGTCTCTTTTTCACAACAGATAATATAAGATCCACATTCCACTATAAGAATGACTGAAGCCCTAATTTTCAGGATATGGGAATCTTTTGGGTTTAATGCAATGGTACTTTAATAGTGAAAACATAAAACATGATTTTGTAAAATTAAAGCTACCTTCTGTCTACATTATTCTGAGAATAAGCTAAATATTCTATCGATTATGAAAATTACTTGTGAAAATTATGCAAGTCATTAAAAAACAAAAATGTAGGCCAGGCGCTGTGGCTCACAACATCCCAGCACTTTGGGAGGCCAAGGTGGGCGGATCACCTGAGGTCAGAAGTTTGAGACCAGCCTGGCCAACAGGGCGAAACCCTGTTCTCTACTAAAAATAAAAAAATTAGCCCGGCATGGTGATGCATGCCTGTAGTTCCAGCTACTCAGGAGTCTGAGGCAGAAGAATCACCTGAACTGGGGAGGTGAAGGTTGCAGTCAGCCGAGATTGTGCCATTGCACTCCAGCCTGGACAACAAGAGCGAAACTCCATCTCAAAAAACAAAAAACAAACAAAATAAAACAAAACAAAACACAAAAATGTAGTCAGGTGTGGTGGCACAAGCCTATAATCTCAGCTACTTGGGAGGTGAGGTGGGAGGATCACTTGAGGCCAGGAGTTCAAGACTAGCATGGGCAACATAAAGAGACCCTGTCTACAAAAAATTTAAAAATTAGCTGGGTGAGGCCGGGCGCGGTGGCTCAAGCCTGTAATCCCAGCACTTTGGGAGGCCGAGGCGGGTGGATCACGAGGTCAGGAGATCGAGACTGTCCTGGCTAACACGGTGAAACCCCGTCTCTACTAAAAATACAAAAAATTAGCCGGGCATGGTGGCAGGCGCCTGTAGTCCCAGATACTTGGGAGGCTGAGGCAGGAGAATGGCGTGAACCCGGGAGGCGGAGCTTGCAGTGAGCCAAGATCACGCCACTGCACTCCAGCCTGGGAGGCACAGCGAGACTCCGTCTCAAAAAAAAAAAAAAAAAAAAAAAAAAAAAAAAATTAGCTG